TTTTTTGATTTTTATGGTTTTTTGGGTTTTTTGGATTTTGCCAGTACTACCTGTACGTTAGGAGCTTTGACCACAAAATGACCGCAAAACACGCAAACAACTGCACTCCCAGGGTGGCCCGTTCTGTAGGATTTAGGGTTCAGGGCTTAGGCTTTAGGATTTAGCGCTTAGGATTCAGGGTTTCAAAGAAAGAAGCAGCAAAGCTGAGCAGCATGACAGATGGTCAGAGATGGAGAGGCATCAAGCCAGCGCACAGCCATGGAGGATTCCACTAATTTTAGGGTTTAGGGTTTAGGGGTTATATGAGCAGCTGATTGGCAGAGTCTGGGTTCAAAAGAAGGGGTTATATGAGGTTGCACACTTTAAGGGGGGTTGGAGTCTTTGGGAAGTCCAAAGAACGATAAAACGCCAGAAGACCCTCGTTAAGCCCTTATAGCGGCCCCAAACCCACTGACGAGCAGCAAAACCAGGGGTGGTTTTGGATTCGGTTCTGGGTGTTCGATGGTCGTTTGCCCATAGGGTGTTTTCAGATATGGGACCAACTATTAAACTATTAGGAATCTGACGATACTACAGAATGGGTTACCCCACTTGTTTAGAATAGGGTTCTTCGCGCCGAGTACCGACTGCAATGCGAAGCGTGAAACCCTAGACCTCAAACCCCTGCCTAACCCTACCTCAGGTTTCCTTAGGACCTCATCTGGCTAGTCCGAGTGCGATAGCGTAAACAGCCGCTTTTTTGAAGCCGTGTGCTGCCCAGGAAATGCAGGATTCTCCGATTTGAGATCCGAGTTTTTGGAGACGCTCCACACTGGGGCAGAATTCCGGGCACCTCTTCACGAGGTGGTCTTAACCTCAATTCTTGAGGATTGAGTACAGAGGCCCTACTAATTAGGTCTGGAGGTGTGTCAAACAATACTTATTTCCGGACTATAACGGAATAGCTGTACCATTTATGCAGGCTAAGTGTACTAATTATTCAGGCTTCTGCATGACGAGTTTGGGGACCGGGAACGGCTTCATCATTTCCTTTTGAGCTTCTGCTGGGGGTGGGGAATAGGTTTTGGATTTCCCTACCTTTGGTTAGTAGGGAATGGAGGAATGGTAGTAATGGTACTTGTAATAGTTCCCATTCCTCCATTCCCTACTAACCAAAGGTAAGTTTCAAGCAGGGCCTGGATTGCCGAAGGGAGCAACCATCAGATCTGACTCTGGGTTGGGCATGTCAACCTTCTCACCCTATAGCGCTTACACACCCTACAAACCCTAAACCCCTAAACCCCTGAACCCTACGACCCTACGATCCCTCCAGATCATGCCGGAGAAGCTACGCGTTTCCGAGGATGTGCGCACGAAGCTTCCGGGTTCTTGTTAAAGGACTTAGTTTAAGTTACCAGAATAGGGGCCTATAGTAAATACGTTTCTTGTTAAAGGACTTAGTTTAAGTTACCATAATCGGGACCTATAGTAAATACTATGGTTTCTTATGATGGCAACTTAGATTACATCCCTTAACAAAAACCCAGGCTTCGGAATCTCCAGTCGCTTCTGCAGTGCGTGGCATACTATCGGCTGCCGATGCAGTCTGAGCACACCAACATCTTCGAGACGTGTTGGAGGGGAGCCTGTTAGTTAGTAGCAGAGTAGGTGGCTTTTAAACTTTATGACTTTTTCGAGCTTGTATAAGCCATTCTAATCCTAACTTAATGAGGCAATGTTATTCTTTTTCTGCTTATTTCATGCTACCACAGTTAAGAAGGTTATCTTTTTTATGTTTTTGTTCTGGCCTAAACCCTAAAGCCCTAAAATCTTAAAGCCCAAATCCCCCAAACCCCCAAAAATCCCTGGTACTCAGCTCCTAAGGAACAGCTGAGCCATTTGCACCAGCACGCCGGCTCGACCTAGATGAAGTGGCGAGCTTGGGGACAAGGCGCCCTAAACTTAACTCCGCCAACGGTTTAGGGTTTAGGGGTGCCAGCCTTAAGCAATTGGAGTATGCCTCTGGGTGTTTTCTACTCTAGTTATCACTTATCATGGGCAAGCCTAGAAGAACTACCGTAGCTTTGAAGGTTTCTGGTAACTTTTAAAGTTTCTATTTCGAAGACATGATTACTTGGCCCGAAATCTCCCAACCCTCCAGGCGGAAAGCCAAGCAGCTGGCTGCGAATCCTTGTCAGCTAGACCCGCGTACATTCATTGGAGACCGGGCTGTTGTTAGGGTTTAGGGTTGAAGGAGTTGTGTTTCTTCTTGAAGTGCCTAGATATTCGCCCTGTGCCCCTATTATTATTCAGCCAACTTAAAGGCCACATACACTTAACCCTAAATCTCCAAGTGTCGTTTCAGTACATATATATATATAACCCAAAGAGAGGTTTTTCTGCGACCCCTACGAAGCCTGTGTAGTAGAGTAGCTAACGTTTAACCGTTTGGGGGAACTGTAACCCCCCCTTTATAGTCACACCCAAAGGTTAACCGCTCCATATGCCAAGCACTGAGGATATTCCCGCGTCCTCCTTCAGTTGGTGTTGCCTGCCGACATTGCGGACAAGCTGGTGTACATAAGTACGAACTGGCACGTGGACAACTACCAGGCCATTCCTGACAGGACCCCGAACAATAACTAGATATGGGCTCTTCGCACTGTCATTTATACTATGATATACATGCACCACTACACCCTTCGAACTGTCAAGAACCTTATTTTACACCCTGGACCCTCGTAGGGTTTATGGCCAAGGGGTGTGAACAGAAGGACCCTTAACATCAGGAGGGATCTTTGCAGATTCCTTTTTCATGTTGGGGCCTTCCTTCTATCACAAGCCCTGCAAGCCCTAAATGAAACGCTAAACCCTAAACTTTCCCTAGACCCCCTGTTATATACATATATATATATGAATGAACCCTATATGCCTTATGAATGAACCGTGAACCCTTGCTGAGTTTTTGGTCAAGGTCGTGAAAAGCGGAAGACCAGCTCTCCGGGAACCTGGTCAAATCGCAGCTCGGCTCTGCTGCTTCGGGCTGAGCTCCGCAGGGTTTAGGGTTTGGGGGTTTAGGGTCTAGGGGTTTAGGGTTTAGGGTATTGGGGAGCTCCAAAACGGCTTGCAGGCTCTGGGGGAATTGAACTCGAACTGCTCTGCACCCTCAACTTGAAGGTTTGGAGGTTCATGCAGGTGTTTATGAGTTTGCACCTCCTGCGCCCGAAGTGAGAATCTGTTTGTTGATGCGTGTGTGTGTGTGGGGGGGGGGCTTTGTGAATACACGTCCACACATATGTGAGCACAGCGAGGGTGGGCGCGGTCCCAGAAAGACCGTGCCGTTTTTCGTGTCCAAGGAGGAGCATCATCTGTGTTCGTCCTTCATTTCATTGTTGTGCTACACCATCCCTCGGGCTTTGTGCAACAGGGCCATGTACCTTTCGGTTACCTTCCTATTTCCTACGCATCATTTCATGGCACATCCTCACATGCTGTTCCTGGTCCAGGGCGCCAACCTGCAAAGTGTGTCTGCGAATGTGCAAGGTGCTCTTTTGTTTTTGTGTTGATGGAAGCACATGTGCTCGGGTCTGGTCTTTTCAGCTACTTTGCTTTCGGCTCTAGACAAGGGTGCCTGCTCTACTACCCTAAACAAAACGGCTGGTCACTGACCGGCTCTAGGGTTTGGAGGCTTTGCTCAAAAGAAGTGGGCATAGGTCGAGCTCGGCAGTAAGGGCAGCAGTCGAGCCCTTGTAGCAAGGGGGGGTTTAGGGGTTGAGGGGATGCGTGCTGAAAACGGGTTCTGAGGCTTAGGTTACGCTTATTCAGGGGTACCGCGCAGTCGCAATAGGCCTGGCTGCAAAAGGGTTTAGGGTTTAGGGCTGCAAACCCAGCTGATTGGCAGAGTCTGGGTTCAAAAAAAGGGCTGCAGCTCTATCCCAGGCGGAGGAATGGTCAGACACGGCTTTCACGCGGGCGTATAGCCGGCTGAAGAACACTGACCTGGGCGATACCTTCACAGCTCGAATGCTGCTAAGCAGGTCTTCACTTCGAGATGTGAGCATCGTAGCACACAGCCCAGTCTTTGCGGATGAAGCCCTGATGTTACTTGGGCTGTCTGAGCGGCGCTACAACTTTGTTCTGTTTTGGTGATCTTTCGGTGCGGCCCTTCTTGTTCGAAAAGAAGGCTTCGTAAAGAAGACTATGGTCACCTCGCGATGCTAGGAATTTAAGGATTTCACACGGGTGTTTGGGTTCAGGGCCCAAGCGTCGGGATCTTTGTCCAACTGGTTCTCAACGACATGAGGGCCTACCTCAATGGTGAGGTGGTCGTCACAGCCGGGGAAGACTGGAAGCCTTTCTGGGAGGCCGGTTTAGGGCTTAGGGTCTAGATGTTACCAAGTTAGGGATTCCTAGAAGAATTTTGCAGAACACATTTCGGAGCTACTGGCGGAGGTGTTTTACGATGTTTTAACGGGTGTGAGGTATTCGAAAACTTCTCGTAAGGAAACTGATGTGTGGCGCCCCACTAAACCCTGAACTTTAACACGGACACGAGGCCCGTGAACCCCTAAACACTCGTTGCCCTTCGGTCGCTCCGCAGTTTAGGCTGTAGTAATCTCCGAAACCGGGAAGTAAATTAGTTCAGTTTGAGAGGTCATGGCCGCGATTGCAACAGGGATCCTCCTTCTGGGGGGTTTTTGGGGCTTGTATCTGCGAAGTCGCCACAAATCGCCACCTACTCGAGAGCCAAGGCCAAGCGAGCCCCGGCGTGCTAGTATGTAGCATTTTTTCCATTTTTTTTGAACGCCTAAGCCTAAACCCGAAGCCTTCAAGCCTAAGACCCAAAGACCTTGAGGCTTCGGGGTTGAGGTTCTTTTTGGTGGGGAAGGGGTTAGGACGTTTCGGGCTTTGCCATCGCAGTTCCGTGGTAGAGCAGGCAAGCTAGAGTTTTTTTAGGTGGTAGTACAACCCCTATAAGATCCCAAAAGGCTCAACCTTTGGTTCCCCCACCAGGATGCTGGACAAGTAAGTTGAAGTGCAGTCCGAACTCCTCACCTCACCAAAAAACTGGTTAAACACGCATTGCTGCAGACTAAAATGTAGGATGGCTTTCGGGTTTATCGAAATGGCTTGCGGGGAGGCGAACCTCGATATGCTCGGGTGTACCGAAGCGAAGTAGCCAAACCGCGCGCCCTAGACCTCTCAAAACCCTGGTCGAGAGATTCAGGTACATAGATTGGGGCTGGTCTAGAGCATGGGTCCCTGCTTGATTGGTATTCTTGCTGCTAGTCGCATGAACAACCCTGAGCCACTGCTACAAAAGCATTTTTGTAAGGAGGCTGGCATTTTAATTTCCTTTTCAGACTCCTAAGCCCTACGTGGACTCTGAATTTTGGGATCCCCGCTCAGACCGCTAAACCCACACCCTAAACCCCTAAAACCCTAAACCCCTAAACCCTGAACCCTAACCCCTAAACCCTAAACCCCTGAACCCCCAAAGCCCTAAACCCTATGAGACCCATTCCCATTCATCTTTGCCGGGGCAGCTTCTTCAGCCTGAAGTAAGAGCCAAGTGCCATGTGTTTTCGCCTGCTTTTTTTGCAAGCCGCCCCCCTGTAAACGGAGGCCCTCAATACCAGTGAGGAGAAGGCTTTTGGCTGAGGTTTAGGGTTTAAGATTTCGGGCGAAGTGCAAACGCCTTGTGCAAAAGGGTTTCAACTTCGAATTCCTGGGTCTTTAGACTTATGATTATGCGGTTCAGGTTTGTCTCAAGCCGTTGGCTGATTGATGTCAGCATATCCAAGCCACTGAAGCGGGGATGTTCTTGAAACCCCCTCCTCGCCGAGTTTTGAGAGCCGTCCCGATCCCGAGTTGGCGTCCTTCCCGGTATTTTCCGAAACTTCATCATGTTTGGTTTAGGGTCTAGGGGTTTAGGGGTTAGGGTCAGCGCGCCGCCAAGGAAGTGGAACTTCAACATGAGCTCTTCAGAAACGCTTGCTGACTTCTCGCTCACCCGGAGCCTGAGACACCAAAAGCCCTCAAAGTCACGGAATACCTTTCGAATCATGTTCAGCAGTTGAGGGGTTTGCGGTAAGGACCCTTCCATGATATCGCTAGTAGAGTTTCCAGGATAGTCGGATTAAGGACATTAAATCGCCCTTCTGCAATATGCGTCTCCAATTTGGCGTTTCGTGATATAGAACTCTGTATTCTGGAGCTTCTTGCGCCAGTGTCATGTGAGTGTGAAAAATATGATTCTCCAACCTGGAGTGTCTTAAACCCTAAACCCTAAAACCCTACACCCTAAACCCTAAACCCTAAAACCCTAAAGCCCTAAACCCTAAAACCCTAAACCCTAAACGCTAAAACCCTAAGCCCTAAACCCTAAAGCCCTAAAACCC